TCCTAGAGTTTTAACCACTAGACCAACTTTTCGTTGGTATATGCATTTAATTTTTATTAGGGCATTTCTCTCAAATATTTGTGACAAAAACTTCTTTAGGTCTATCCTAATCATTTTCTCTACTTATTATGTTGGTTTCTTGATATTAAATGAGATGTTTTCTAACAGGTAATGGACATGATAGAGGACAAAGGTCTCAAAACTGTTGCCTTGTGCTGCAAGGAACTGAGAGAACTAAGGGTGTTTCCATCTGGAGCAGACCTAGATGAAGAAGACGTGGCTCTCACGGAACAAGGTCTGGTATCTGTGTCTGAAGGTTGTAAAAAGCTTGAATCTGTTCTCTACTTCTGTGTCCAATTTACAAACGCAGCTTTGGTTACCATCGCAAAAAACCGTCCAAACTTCAGATGCTTCCGCCTCTGTGTGATGGAGCCATTTGCACCTGACTACAGAACACAGCAGCCGCTTGACGAAGGATTCAAAGCCATAGTTGAGAGATGCAAGGACCTTCGAAGACTCTCTGTCTCTGGTCTTCTCACTGATAAGGCCTTTGAATACATTGGAGTACACGCCAAGAAGCTTAGGATGCTGTCAATAGCATTTGCTGGAGACAGTGATTTGATGCTTCACCACTTGTTGTCTGGATGTGAGAGCTTAAAGAAGCTGGAGATAAGGGATTGTCCATTTGGAGACACCGCGCTGCTCGAGAACGCTGCTAAACTTGAAACCATGCGATCCCTTTGGATGTCTTCTTGCTTTGTAAGTTTTGGTGCTTGCAAGCAGTTAAGTCAAAAGATGCCAAGGCTAAATGTTGAAGTCATTGATGAGCATCCTCCAAAGACAAGGCCTGATAGCTCACCTGTTGAGAGGATATACATATATAGAACAGTCGCGGGACCAAGGCAGGATACGCCTGAGTTTGTCTGGACGATACACAAGAACCCTGAGGTTGGAGTTTCACGTCTATCCACACGGTGAAACTTGCTGCTTCAGTATTATGTTTTTGCAGGCAATGTTGTGGGAGTATCACCTTCCATGTATGTTCGTTTTTTTTTCTTTCATTTTGTTTTCACCAAGGGTGTTAGAATCATTTCATTAGTTTGTACTCTGTTGAACAAAAGCTTTTGTCTTTGTACTAAAAAGTTTGGAATAAAAAAACTCAATTTGTGAGATTTATATACTCATCAGTTGTTGTGAACATTAAACAAACACAACTGCTTTGATTGGTATTAAGGCCTCGATTGGTACGGCATATGATAAAGCATTAGCAATATGATGCAAAAGCTGTATGCTGCAGAAGCTGTATGCTTTCACTAAAATTTTTAATAAAGTGATTGCCAAAGCAGTAGTAGTATACAATTTTAAAATTATCATAATAGTTAATAAAATAAATATTTATATTAAAATATATTTATAGATTTAGAATATATATTAATAATATATTTGTTATTAAAAATAAAGAATTTTATTCATTATATAAATTATATTATAGTTTATATGTAAAATATTATTATTTGAAATGTAATTTTAAAAAAATATTAAATTATTTTGCATATAAAAATATTTAATTTTATTAAATAAATAAAAAAATTTATATAATTTATATAAATTATTATTATTTATTGATAGATCAATAAATGTTTCATATATAAAATTATCATAAAAATTAATATATGTTATATAATTTATTTATTAGTGTCTAATTAATATACATATATATATATATGTTTGTATTATAATATATAAATATATATTATGTTATGTTTGTTTTTAAAAATAATGAACGATATGTGTAATTATATAAATTATATTATATTTTAAATGTGAAATATTTTTTTAAATAATTTAAAATTTTAATTATAATTTTAATTTAATTTTTAAAAATATAAATTTATTTTTTGATTATAAAATTATTTTTATATTATTAAACTAAAATATATTAGTTATATATAATTATTTTTAAAAAATTTATATATTGTAAATGCAAAAACTCTATTGGAGACATTGAGCAAACAGCATTTGAAGAGCATTAGTATTTAGTAAATGTTTTTCCAAATGCTTATTTGACAAATATTGATTGGATAATAGAGAGCATAATGCTTATGCTAATTCTCTACCAATCAAGCTAGAAGGGTGGAAAAATAAAGAAAATGAGAAAAAAATCTATATTATAATGATTCAGTTTAAAGGCTCCTTAAGGTGTCCACATAGGCAGATTGTGGGTCCCACATTTTTATATTAAAATAGATAGTTGTTTTAAAAGGACTACAAACAAAGATTATCAGTTTAGTCAAGTGGTCTAAGACCCCATGTTTAGTCTCCAAGGACATGGGTTCAATTCCCACTGCTCTCATGCATAAACCAATTAATGTCATCATCATAAAAATAGTTTTTAAACAGACATAGTCTTGGTAAGATGGTTCCAAACAATGAAATACACTTTAGCCAAGTGGTATAAGGTGTCTAATTAAGTATGCGAGATTGTGGGTTCAAACCACGCAGCTATCATGTATTTTTGATTTTTTTTTTATTTAGGTTATTATCATATGGGCTTTTTGTTTATAAGGTTCTTATGTTTTTTTTTGGGCTTATTGTTTTAAAGATCAAAATAGTTGTATAAACCCTAAACCTTAATAAGTTCAAACCCAAAATAGTTAAAAATGAATCCAAAACGAATAATAAAACAAAAAACAAAAAAAAACAAGTCTCACGTGGTTGCTTATGCGGTTAAAAATATCATATTATAATATAGCTCAACCCAAAAATAATAAAAAATAAATCCAAAAACGAACAGACAAAAAAAAAACAAAAAAAAAGTGAATTCCACGCCGGTGCATACGTGGATGGCTTAATGAGAGTTGAATAATATAGATTAGGAGTTCAAAAAGTTAAATCATTGCACATATTTCCTAATATATATTTTCAAAAAATTTGTATGTGAGATAAAATAAAATAAAACAACAAAAATTAATTATTTTCGTTATTATTAAATGAATAGATAATTTCTCTTACGTTTAATAACTACTATAATTTCCTTGAAAACATTCCTCACCACCGATTCCAGACTCCGATGAATGGATTCCCACAGTCGATGACGCCGTAGATAAAAATGCCACGTCATTTATGAACAAAATTCAATCTTACAAAAAACCATATATAAAACCCTATCTAATGAAACTTAAATAACGAATATTAACTTAATTAAGGTTATTTTCAAATTGATAAATCGTTTAATACAAATATAAATACTATAAATATAGAATTATATCAAGTTTTGATCTACGATATAAAATCTATTTACAGCCAAAAAAAATACACCTACTTTTACACACTAAAAACTATATTATAGCCTAACTATTCCTATAAACCTTACTTCGCATATAAATAACATTTAACACATTCCTAATATTTTTCAAAAAAAATGTATGTGAAATAAAATAAAATAAACAACAAAATTTAAGTAAGTTATTTATTAAATGAATATGTAATTTCTCTTACATTTTAATAACTACTATAATTTCATTGAAAACATTTCTCACCACCGACTCCAGATTTCGGAAAATGAATTCCCACAGTCGATGACTTCGTAGATAAAAATGCCACATTATTTATGAACAAAACCGAAACTTACAAAAAACCATATATAAAAACTTATCTAATGAACTTAAACAACGAATATTAACTTAATTAAGGTTATTTTCATATTGATAAATCGTTTAATACAAATATAAATACTATAAATATAGAATTATATCAAGTTTTGACATACGATATAAAAACATGAAATTTTCCATTTCATTATTAATTGGTGTCATTAGAAGAATCCACTAAACCAACAATCGAAAAAAATACACGCAAAC